AACATACATAGGGAAATAAAGAATAATTGGGAAAAATATACAGAAAGAAATGTATGATGGGCATACTAAGAATAATTTCGATGATTGTTTGAATGAAATTGGTTTAACAGAGGACTTATCTGATCCTTATGAAGTATGCGATTTAGTTCGTAATAAAATAACCATGATATACTTATGTATAAATTGCAGTTTCTTTATGATATTATGTCTCACTAAGTAAATACTTAACGTTTGTTGATTTTCACGTGTAGGTAAAAGAAAAGACTACTCGGGTAAGGAGTGCACTAGCAACTATCATCAATCTATGGTTGACTTTTATCAGTAACAGTAGGACAATCATGTTTATTTTGAAAATTTGGCTAGCATGTAATCGACTTTAAGAAAAATTCTATGAAATGTATTTAAAGTGATAATTTGTAGTGATATGTTTCAACGAATGTTTTATTTTTGTTTTAAAATGTCTTGTTTTAATTTTGAAACAATTTTTTATGGGTTTTACAAATGATTTAATTTTTTAAAAGTCATGTGACACCTATAACTTGTGTACGGAAATGTATATGGGAAATGGGTATTACATTTATTGGTATAAAAGCTACAGGTTTAACCGATTCTCGGCCGAAATCGGGTTTAATTGAATTAATAAAAAGGATTACATGCCATTATGATTGTAAAAGTTACTGATATGGGGTCAATTATAGTGTGATTGATGCCATTCCATACTTACTTGAGTGTTATTATTATGTTTTTCCTAATAGATGTCAGAAACTAAGGACAAAGGTAAGAAAGTTGATAATATTGAAAAGAAGGTCAAGATCAAAATTGACCCAAGAGAATCCGACATGACTTCAGTATCATGACTTAGAAGGGTAGAAGCTGCTAGGGATTTTCCTCCATTTTGTGGAAGGAATGCCCTAACGTTTAACGACGTTTATGCGTTTGAGTAATCCATTAAAAAGTTTGAACGGTTTACAAGAGATGTTTAATCAGATGAGGATCCTCTGAGGTTTCTTTAGGTAAGCTTAAATAATTGAGAAATATTTAAGTGAAACATTAAATTATTTAAAGTGTTTTTTAATTTGAGTAAGAGGAAATGAGTAAGCGGTAAATACATTGACCACTAAAAGCTATAGAAAGTTGAGTTATTTGTGGATCAAATGATTATGAGTTTGTTTGAGAATAAATGTTAAGTTTTATGAACTTAATAGAGTTACTTTTAGAAGGTAAATTGTGAAAATGAATTTTCTACCCATTTTATGCTTCAATAAATTATTAGTTAGAATTGAGATTAATTCTCGAGAACATGCAAAAGTGTCAAATTCGTAATGATAGGAAAAAGAGTAGATTTTGGTTACTAGTGTAATTTTTAGCATTAACTGCTATGAATTTATTGATACAAAGTTGTCAAATATTCTTATTAAATGATGTGGATAATTAGACTTTCATAGTTGAGATAGAAAATGTTTCAACTGCTCGAGTATATTTTCAATGGATCCGAAAAAGTTACATGGATTACCTCAAGAAGGAAATAAGAAATTTTAAATAGAAATATTCTATTCAAATTAATCTCGAGTGAGATGATAGCGGTAAACCCTAGTGGGTCATGGTGCAAGTGTGAGTTGGACAGGTAGTAAATACTGGATTAAGATTCCAGGGGCTATATTCCCGGTGAATCTAATGGAATTATCATTTGATGAGTTAATATCATATTGGGTATAGGGGTTTTGTCTCCAGAGACGACTAGTTCAGAAAGATGCAAAGGATATGGAAATTATAGTTTTAGAGAGAAAGCAAAATATCGCTCAAGGTGATATCGACAATGATTATTAAGAAAATGATGTTAGAAAGATATATATATATATATATATATATATATATAACTTTTCTGGCTAATGTGATAGATACTCAAATAATTCAAGTAAAATTGTATGATAATTTCACAAACTTGGGAATTTAGAGATGTCTTTTCAGATGAATTTCCTGGGTTACCTCCAGATCGAGAGGTGGAATTCAAGGTTGATGGTTATTAAGGTATTGAACATGTTTCTATAATTTCGTATCAAATGAATTAAGTGAGTTAAGAGAATTAGAGGCTTAATTACAAGAGTTGATGGATCAAAGTTTCATCAGCCATAGTATTTCATCTTGGGGTGTATTTTTGTTATTAGAGAAAAGAAAAATAAATCTATTTGGTTATGTATAGATATTTTTTTTGCAGTTGGCGGGTGTCGAATCCAACAAATAATAATACTTGCTTTTTAGAAATATAAATTGTAGTAATGATAAGCAAGGTCGAATCCACAGGGATTGGGCAGACTTATTCTAATGAAAATTAAAGCAAAGAAAATGGAGTTTTGAAATTGATGAAAATAAAGACAAAAAGCAATTATAATAAACTAAGAATTTAGAGAAATTAATATTAAGGAAATATCCAACTAAAGGTATAATTTCAGAATTGATTCAGAGAATTGATCATAAATGCAATGATAAAATCTTCTACTTTTCACTAAATTGGTTATGGTTATTGAGAAGCTCTAACAATCTGTCTCTCCTTAGTTTCTCGATAATCAAGAGAAGCTCTTTGATTATTTCCCTAGTTAATGAACAACCCTAGACAAGCTCTTAAGATTTAATCCACCAACATCATTAATCACTAGAGGGACCACCAATTCTAGCCAACAAATACGCAAGCTCGATTCATTTAGACTAGGTTATATACCTTCATAACATAATCATAATCAACCATGTTACTTTACCACTAATATTAGAACATTTAAACAATTACAGATTTAAAGTTCTAAATGGCAATTTATCAACCTGATAATTGAACAACGGATCCTTTGCACAATCAATCAAGACAATAATTCTTAATAAAAACAGAAGATATATAAATAGCAATGAAGTAAAATAACAATGAAAATTATTTAGATCTCACAATCCTTGAAGAACCAAAACTTCAATTATCCTTCAGTTGGAACAAAAGTATTTAACTACTCATAATTGAAAGAAAACTAAAAGAAAATAAAGATGAAAACTGATGTAAAACTTGATGATCCACTAATGAAAGCCCTAGCTCCCCTTTTATAAGGATTTTCCTATTATAGATAAGGAAGTTTCCCTTAAAGAAAATCCCACAAAAATAGGAGTTTTAAATGCCCTCATCTTTTTCTAAAGATAAGAATAAATCAAAAGAGTCTTCCAGCTGTCATTAAACTCTTTTTCCTTTGTAAAATTCGTAGCCCTACTTTAGGGTTACACAGACTAGTAAGGCGTGCCCATGCCTTAACTGAAGACTTCTTCTGCGGTAGTTCAGGATGAATAAGACGTGCCCACGCCTTATGCGAAAACCTCTTCTGGTCTTGCCAACTTCTTGAATTCCGATTTTTTCTCCTTAATTTGGGGATTTTGTGAAGATCATGCTAATCATTAGATTTTGAACTTGTTTTATCCAAATCTTCAACCTAATCCACAAAATACTAAATATAATCAAAATCCATGATTTAAGCAATTTTAGTTATTCAAATATGAGGAAAATATCATAGAATATATGTCTAATATGCATCTTATCAAATTCCCCACACTTAAACCAATGCTTGTCCTCAAGCTACAATAGTTCAAATTCATAACTCTTCTCAACATCAATCCTTCTTCTTCCTTTGCTCATCCTTCCACAATCAAAATTTTCATTCCTTAAAGAATCAAATCTAAACACAAGTAAGGAACGAGCAATTCGTAGAACAAATTCTCATAAACCAAAACACATGAATAATCACTCCATCAATCTTTTCGAAATCAAAATGCAGTGGGATCTAATACCCTCACATTGGATTCACTCAATACGCTCGAAGTGTTTAAGCGTGTCAACAAACTCTAAAGCCAAAACATACAAAAATTTACCATAGGCTTGCTAACCTATCACATCCCCACCACCAGTCAATGAATTGAATGCATAAAAACCTCAGGGTCTTAAACAGGGTGTAATGGGGATTAGGCGAGGTTTGATAGAAAAGGAATTTGAGCTATTTTATTGAAGGAGTCATACAAACTTATCCACATGGAACTCAATCTTCAAATGTTCTCTTCAAGCCATATAACTTTTTTTTTCATTGCACAATCTCTCTTTCTTTATTTCCTTTTCACAATTTTTCTTTTTTTTCTTTTCTCTTTTTTTTTGTTTTGTTTTTTTTTCACTGAAAGAGATTGCAACTTGAATCACTATATTCCAACATCTTCCGATCTTCTCAAGATAATTTGAATTCTCATGTGAAGAAGCTCATATAATCCTCCAATTCAAGGTTCAAAAAAGGGGAAATTAACAAAAAAGATTTAATATTTACTTGTACTATGGTTAATTTCAAACAAAAAGGCTCATGCTCAACATTGTCTTTCTAAGGATGATAATCAGGGTAGGCTATTTACGAAAGCTAAAAGTGGTTTTACCTAAATGCCCTTATCGTTCTTGATGCATCCAATTATAAAATGTGGTCTTCGACATGTATAACAAAGCAAGTTGTAGAAAGATTAACTATGTATGACAATCACTCAATCAAGAAATGGAGCATGCTGAAAGTGAGTGCTCATTGGCCCAGAAACTCACAAAAAGGGTAAACATGTATCAAATCCCATACATTTTTCATTCAATCAATCATCAAGAGTAATTAACCAGTGTGTAATAAATAAGAATTCAACTACTCAAGCTAATCCCCTATTATGCTTCAACTTAATTCGATAATTCAAAACAATCCAAATTATGTAAGGACAAACATCGAAAGAATCTGGAATTTTGAAGAGAAAAATCACAAAAAAGAACTAAAGCATACTTGTTTTTTCGGAAAAAATTTGAAGCAAAATTATGTTCAAAGCAAAACCATGTATGAAATACTCTCCCCCACACTTAATCCATACATTGCCCTCAATGTATCAAAAGTAGATGCTCAAAAACCACAAAAAAGGTAAGAGTAGAAAACTCCCCTGAAAATATTGAGCATTAACCACAATATCTGTCACGAGATGGGAGTGAAGGCGCTGTGTGTTGGCTGGGTTGATTCTCGAACTGAGCGGAGATGTGGGTCAGGTGGAGCAGAGAGGACGGTTGGTGGCGCGCATTCTTCTGAAGGAGCACAAAAATAAAGAAAAGATGAGGCATATTTATAATTGAATCTTGTTTCCCGAACCAGAAGTGGTGTTGAGTTTAGACGTGGGCACGTCTTAAACAAAAACATCTTCTGGATAGTAAGAGACTTTAGGAATAATTCTACTTTTGTAAGGCGTGCCCACGGGTTACAAAAATTCATCTTCTGACCTAAAGAGGAAAACAAGAATAATTGTATTCCGAAAAATCAAGGAAAATAAAATAAAATAAAATAAAAAGAACGAAAATAGAAATTAAAAAAAGAAAAAGAAAAATTGGGTTGCCTCCCAAGAGCGCATTTCTTTAATGTCTTTGGCTAGACGTTGTAGCTTCTCAATCATCCTAAGTTGGGTACTCCAAAATGGTTTGACCAATAGTATGCACCAGAGAACCTTAATAAAAAGGTTTAAAACGATGATCGTTGACCTTAAATATTTGACCTGTATCCAAACCTTGTATTTCATAGAATTTTTTTCTCCACCCAATAGCTTCCTTGTACTCTCTAAGCATTTGAATCAACTTTTCTTCTTCAAAGCGGGAGATTTTGTTGGGAATGATCACTGGAATAGTTTCCTCTTCTCCTAGATATACATGATTCAGATGATTTGACAAAGGTTTCGTTTTCAATTTTGGTGTCTGCACAAGAGAAGGAAGAAGCTTGGTGTGAGAAAGAGGTGACTCAATATTAAGATACATCATACCTCATGGGTTTGAGCGATTCTAGTTCTTGGATTGTATCTTGCAAATCAAGATCCAATACAGACTCTTTCATGATTCCCTGCAATCCTTCAAGAGTGAAATTCATGTTGAGTGCAACTTTCAACTTGTAATCATTATTTAAATAAAAACTTTCATGCACTGAAGGGTCAATAAAATCCATGACAAAAACAGAGGACACATCACCAGGACATCTCATGGCATCATAAATATTGAATTTAATAATTTCACCATCAAATTCCATGGTAAGTGTACCATAATCTATATCAATTTTTGTCCTAGCTGTTTTCAAAAATGGTCTTCCTAACAAAATTGATGTTGATTTAGAATAATCATCTTCTTGCATATCAAGCACATAAAAATCTGTAGGAAAAATCAATTCATTGACTTGCACCAAAACATCATCTAAAACTCCCTCAGGATATACATTAGATCTGTCAGCTAGTTGAATAATCACTCCTGTCTCTTTCAAAGGACCAACGTTCAAAGATGAGTAAATAGAGAGAGGCATGACATTTATTGAAGCTCCTAGATCTAACATTGCTCTCTCAATCCTAATATTACCGAGTTTATAAGGGATAGTAAACATACCTCGGTCTTTGCACTTGGGGGGTAGTTTTTTCTGGAGGACAACTGAAACATTCTCCCCCATACTTACCTTTTCATTGCCCTTGAGCTTTCTCTTGTTGGTGCACAATTCTTTAAGAACTTTAGCATATTGAGGTACTTGTTTAATTGCATCAAGTAAAGGAATATTTACCTCGATCTTGCAAAATGTCTCAAGAATTTCTTTTCTCTTCTGCTTCTTTCTTGGATTTAGCGAATCTAGAGGGAAAATGAGGCTCTATGACAAATTCCTTCAGTTTTTCGCTTTTGAGTCCTTTAGGTTGGTCTTTCTGAGTTTGAGGAGCAACAACTTCCTTTTCAGCTTTTTCCTCTAAGGCTCTCCCATGTGCCAATGGACTAGGTTCCTTCAACTCCTTTCCACTTCTCAATGTGATTGCACTAATGTTTTTTTTGGATTAACAATGGTTTATGAAGGTAACTTACCTTGGGATTCTAACCGATTCACGGATGATGCCAATTGACTCACTTGATTCTCCAAATTTATTACGCTTGTTCTTGTCTCTTGCTGAAATTATTGTATAGGTTGCAAGTGATTTGACAATTTCTTCTAGGGACATACCCGGCTTTGAAGAAGATTTCTCAGGTGGAGAACGCTGGAATTACGATGGTCTTGGTCCATAGCTAAGGTTAGGATGATCCCTCCATCCTGGATTATAGGTATTTAAGTAAGGATCATATTTCCTTTGTGGGGGATCGAGAAACCTTCCAACTGCATTAGCGTACTCATGATAATCATCTTGAAGTGTAGGACACATGTCAGTTGGGTGACCGATCGCAGCACATATCCCACAAGCTTTCACTTGCTGTGTTTTTCCTACAACTAGTTGTTGAACAAGGGAGGTGAGATGCGATAATTGATGTTCAATGGAGGACGAACCTACCTCGTTCACCCTTCTTGAAGATGTGTCTTGCCTAAAGCCAAATTGTTGTGAATTGGCGGCCATGATGGAGATCAATTCCCTAGCATCGTGAGGAGTCTTGTTCACTATGGAACCTCCACTGGTTGCATCCATCATCTTTATTTCCATGGGTATAAGTCCCTCATAGAAATATTGGATGAGAAATTGCTCAGAAATCCCATGTTGAGGGCAGCTTGCAAACAGTCGTTTGAATCGTTCCCAATACTCGTGAATGGTCTCAGTATCTTTTTGTTTTGTTCCACATATCTCCCTTCGAATGCCAGCGGCTCTTGAAGCAGGGAAAAATTTATCAAGGAACATCCTCACCATCTCGGCCCAAGTAGTTACAGAACCAGGGGTTAAATAGAAGAGCCAATCTTTAGCTCTATCGGTTAGCGAGAACGGAAAAGCGCGCAGTTTACCTGCTCTTCGGTCACTCCTTGCGGTCTCATACTTGAACATACCACTTGAATTTCCTTCAAATGCTTATGAGGATCTTCATTCTCAAGTCCATGAAAAGTAGGCAATAAATGAATCAAACCAGATTTTAATTCAAAAGCTACCTCCAAAGTTGGGTAGTCAATGCAGAGACGTTGTTGATTCACATTTGGTGCAGCCAATTCTCTTAGATTTCTTTCTTCGTTGGCCATTGTTCCTTTTACTTTAGAATCTTTGGATGAATCAACCAAGTTGAGTGTAGATTTCGATTCAGGGGATGAAGAATAAGAAGCTTGTTTGTTGCGCAAGTTAGTTTCTTTTCTGAACCTGCGAGCAGTCTTCTCGATTTCAGGATCGTATTGGAGTTCACCTGCACGAGAAGAACGGGGCATCAAAATAAATCTAAATAACACCAATCCCTGGCAACGGCGCCAAAAATTTGGTGGGTGTCGAATCCAACAAATAATAATACTTGCTTTTTAGAAATATAAATTGTAGTAATGATAAGCAAGGTCGAATCCACAGGGATTGGGTAGACTTATTCTAATGAAAATTAAAGCAAAGAAAATGGAGTTTTGAAATTGATGAAAATAAAGACAAAAAGCAATTATAATAAACTAAGAATTTAGAGAAATTAATATTAAGGAAATATCCAACTAAAGGTATAATTTCAGAATTGATTCAGAGAATTGATCATAGATGCAATGATAAAATCGTCTATTTTTCACTAAATTGGTTATGGTTATTGAGAAGCTCTAACAACCTGTCTCTCCTTAGTTTCTCGATAATCAAGAGAAGCTCTTATTTCCCTAGTTAATGAACAACCCTAGACAAGCTCTTAAGATTTAATCCACCAACAATATTAATCACTAGAGGGACCACCAATTCTAGCCAACAAATACGCAAGCTCGATTCATTTAGACTAGGTTATATACCTTCATAACATAATCATAATCAACCATGTTACTTTGCCACTAATATTAGAACATTTAAACAATTACGGATTTGAAGTTCTAAATGGCAATTTATCAACCTGATAATTGAACAACGGATCCTTTGCACAATCAATCAAGACAATAATTCTTAATAAAAATAGAAGATATATAAATAGAAAAGAAGTAAAAGAACAATGAAAATTATTTAGATCTTACAATCCTTGAAGAACTAAAACTTTAATTATCCTTCAGTTGGAACAAAAGTGTTTAACTACTCATAATTGAAAGAAAACTAAAAGAAAATAATGATGAAAACTGATGTAAAACTTGATGATCCACTAATGAAAGCCCTAGATCCCCTTTTATAAGGATTTTCTTATTATAGATAAGGAAGTTTCCCTTCAAGAAAATCCCACAAAAATAGGAGTTTTAAATGCCCTCATCTTTTTCTAAAGATAAGAATAAATCAAAAGAGTCTTACAGTCTTCATTAAACTCTTTTTCCTTTGTAAATTCGTAGCCCTAATTTAGGGTTACACGGACTAGTAAGGCGCGTCCATGCCTTAACTGAAGACTTCTTCTGTGGTAGTTCAGGATGAATAAACCGTGCCCACGCCTTATGCGAAAACCTTTTTTGGTCTTGCCATCTTCTTGAATTCTGATTTTTCCTCCTTAATTTGGGGATTTTGTGAAGATCATGCTAATCATTAGATTTTGAACTTGTTTTATCCAAATCTTCAACCTAATCCTCAAAATACAAAATATAATCAAAATCCATGATTTAAGCAATTTTAGTTATTCAAATATGAGGAAAATATCATAGAATATATGTCTAATATACATCTTATCAGCAGTTAAATAGGACTCTTCGAGAGAAGAAGTTGTATGCCAAACTATCCAAATGTGAAATTCTGGTTAACAAAGATGACTTTCTTTGGCCAGGTTGTTTCGGCATAAGGTATAAGAGTAGATCCTAAGAAAAACTCATGCTGAAGTAGATTGGAAACTCCCAAAGAATGATCCTGAGTTTGGATTTCTTTGGGGCTTATTGGTTATTATCGAAGGTTAATAAAGAACATTTCGACGTTAGTTTTACTGCTAACCAAGTTTTTAAAGAAAGATATGTCTTTTGTTTGGATGGAGAAAGGTAAAGAGAGTTTTGAAATGCTAAAGAGGATTTTAATAGAGGTACCAATGTTTATACAACTTGAGTTGTGTAAAGATTATGTGGTTTTTATTGATACATCTTCTAACGACTTAGGAAGTGTGCATATGCAAAAAGGTAAGGTTCTGGCATATGCCTCGAAAAAGTTAAAGAGTCACAAGAAGAATTACCCTATATATGATTTAGAGTTGGTAGCAGTCGAGTTTACCTTAAAAGATTTGACGTAATTATATGTATGGTGAGTGGTGCTATAATTTGTCTAATTACAAAAGCCTAAAGTAATTGTGGACTTAAAAAGAGTTGAACCTGAGACAAAAAAGATGAAGAGAACTTTTAAAGAATTATGATGTGATCATTGATTATCTTCCAAGAAAGGCCAATGTTGTTGCAGAGGTACTTGGTCAGAAACCTTTTGCATATTTGCAAGATATAGATGTACGATTAGTGTTGAATGAAAATGGCATTGTGGGTTGAATTAAAGATGAAGCCGATGTTTTAATTATATTGGATAAGAGAATTACAAAGGAAAGACGAAATTACTTGATAAGAAATGTATAAGTAAAAAATGAAGAGATTAAGGACTTTTGAGGTCAGGTTTGATGGATGTTTGTATTATCGTGGGAGACTTTGTATTCTCGAAGATTAAGAATTTAAGAAATAAATTCTTTTTTAGGCATTCCGTTGACTATGCATTCAGGTGGAAACAAGAGGTACCAATATTTAAAGAGTCGGTTTGGTGGCATGGGTTGAAACGAGTCACTGTGGGTTTTGTTAAAAGGCTACCTTTAACATTTATCAAGAAAGACAATATGGGTGATGTTGATAGATTTACAAGACAACTACTTCATTTTGGTACGAACATAGTAGTTGATGGATAAATATGATGAGATATACATATAAGAAATAGTTTGGCTGCATGAAGTTCCAGTATTGACCTTTTCCAACAGAGATTCAAAAATTCACTTTAAGATTTCTAAATTCTTGCATAAATCTTTGGGTACTCAATTCAAATTTAGTACGACCTTTCATCAGCAGACGGATGGTCAGTCGGAACGTACTATTCTGATATTGGAAGGTATGTTGAGGGCATTTGTAATTTATTTCAAGGGATCATGGGAAAAATATTTGCCTTTAGCAGAATTTGCTTACAATAACAGTTATTAATCGAACATCACGATGGTTGTATATGAAACTTTATCTGGGAGAAAAGGTTAAATACCATTAAATTGGTTTGAGTTAAAAGATCGAAATCTAGTTGGCCCTGATTTAATGAAATAAATGGAATATAAAATGAAAGTTACTCAAGATAATCTTAATATAGCTTCCAATCGACAAAATTCTTATGTTGATCAAAAGAGAAAAGAGATTGAATATACTGTAGGTGATAAAGTTTTTCTAAAAGTATCGCCTTGAAAGGAAGTATTGCGGTTTGGACTGAGTCCGAGATTTATTGGACCTTATGAGATTTTATTAGTTAGCTTTGCCTCCCGAAATGGACAAGAACTATAATGTTTTTCATATTTCATTGCTTAGTAATTACCGATCAGATCCATCACATGTTCTTACATTGGAGGAAATAGAGATTCGAT